CTCCGCGTTACTAAGTTGACTGCTGCCCAGCTACTAAACTGTAATGGAAACGCAGCATGAAGTGAGCCCTGCCTACCAACGGCCTCAACTATACGGTACTATGCTAAGCAGTGCGAGGCCCTGCAGTGGAAAGGAGCGCCATGAAGAGAACAACCCAGTTCTGCTTCTGTTCGTCCTTATTTCACCAAAGTGCCCAGTACAAGGCAGAGAAAATGAGTCTCATATGTTGCCAAGTACAGTGTGACTCTGCAACATATTTCACTGGTTATTTATGTGTGCGGGAGCCTGCAAATGCAATCTCAAAACCCGGCACATACAAGTCGTACTCGTACCTGCATACATATCTATTGTACGAGGTAATTTATTCATTACAGATTTCATCTTCTTCAACTGTTTAAATTGTAGTGGCTATCGTCTACTACTATTTGAATATCTATCAGTGTAGGCTGGACTTGATAAAACAACTATTGTCTGCCCAAGCTTACAGCTGCACACTGTAAACCGTTGGTTCCTCTTATATATTTTGCCTGGGGGTGTTGATTTTATTTAGGAAGATATAAACACATTTGTAAAGGTGTTTTAATAAGCAGAGTTGGAAATCTGACCTATCCTACTACACCTGAACACAGCAAATAGTTAAAGTGATGGTGTGAGTGCCATGAAACGAGAACAGGGTTTCTGCCCTGAATCTTAAATCCAATCTCTTGTAAGTATCTTTGTCCTGTTTCATATGTTAACACTGTATAATAGTCAACACAGAACAAGTATGTTTTAAATCTCTCTCCCCTGCAGTGTGGCCTGATAATCGTCTGTGTGTGTGTGGTGGTGTGTGGTGTTGTGTGTGGTGTGTTGTGTGTGTGTTGTTGTGGTGTGTGTGTGGTGTGTGTGTGTGTGTGGTGTGGTGGGTGTGTGTGTGTGTGTGTGCTGAGAGTGTGTGTGTGTGTGTGTGTGTGTGTGTGTGTGTGTGTGTGTGTGTGTGTGTGTGTGTGTGTGTGTCTGTGTACGGCACGGCACGGCACGGCCACCATCTAATGCATTGAAGTGTGTTTTGTCCCTCGCCCAGGTCCCCTCAGCCAGGAGCTGAATTCCAGACAGGCGAACAAAAGGCGGGCCTGGTTGCGTGGGGGGGAGGGCGGTGTTATTGAGGCCTTGGCACAGACAGGAGTAGGGACCCTGAGAAAGACAAGATACAGAGCAGAACTGAACAGAATGGTGTGTGTGTGTCTACGTGTATGATAACAGGCCGATAAACGGGCAGCCCGACACGCTCTCTGCTCTGCCTTTGTGTGCATGTGTAATCCCATTATCTGCATTGTTATTGTGTGCAGCATGTTGTGTCTGTGTGGGTGTCTGTGCATAATCATATTGCTGCTGCTATAATATTCATTGTTGTTATTGTGCCAGAGCGTAAAGGGAATAATTAGACAATAAAGGGACAAGAGGACAGACAGAGGGAGAGCAGAAGGTTTCCCACCAGCTTGTCTTCAAAGGAACAGAAGAGTAGAAGAAGAGAAGTTTTACGGTCTGCCTGGGTCTTTCACTTTCTTTATCACCCTCCCTCTCCTTACTGTACAGCCAACCTCTTGTAAAACTACATTTGATCCTCCCTATTTCCCAAAGCTGAGTCAGGCTTCTTAGGATCTGGGTCAAACAGCCAGCCAGCTATGAGGCCTAAATTCAACTCCAGCTACTCTGCATGAATGATTCAGATCCTCTCATTGATAGGCCTGTGAGCTCCAATTTCTGCTGTACATTAAGGGAATGGGAGTATTTGGGGAGAGCAGTGCTTTTTACGTGTGCATTTTATTGGGATAATGTAGAAGGGCAGCTCTCCCAGCAACAGGCTACAAAGGGAGAGCCGGGGTCAAAAGTCTATTCACATGTTCCCCGGCGACAGGAGAAAGAGCAAAGGGAAATCCTTGAGTAATGTTTCTCATTAGGGCCTGAAACATGCTGCAGGACACCGCTCAGTATGGGCTTTCCACCCTGCTGGAGAGGGAGAGAGAGGCATCAGCATGGGCTGAGGCTAGTTTTCCTCAGGCCTTTGATAACATATCTGAAATGTGTGTGAGAAAGAAGAATATAGCTTCATCCATTCAATCATTTTGAATGGATAAAAGTGTTAGCCAGACCTTGTGACCAGGAATTAAATTGATAAATAATTCCAAAGTACAACTTAAACTTTATTTGATTCAGGTGTCACGATTTAGGACTTATTTATAGTAAGTGGTTTTATTAGGATGAATTATTTAAAAATGAGACATAAAAGTGGGAGATGCCAAAATCTTATGCATCGAGGAGAGTCTAAGATAGTTCTGTTTAACTTTCTCAAACAGACTTGGAGAATTATTCTATACAAATGTGCTGGGTTACTTCAACTTTAAATCATTTTGTAATGTGGGGTGATTTTATGGAATGGTTTGGAGCAGGAGTTAAAACAAAGCACAAGCATAATTCAGTTTAAAAGGATGTTCAGAAAAAAAAATTGGGAAAACTATGAGAATGAAGAGAGATGATTGAAGATGAGAAATGATTGTATGTATGTATAAATGTAAGTAGGAATAACTTGCATAATGATTTAAAGGACAATCATTGATCAAGTAAAGGGTGGGAATTAATAAGCATTTGCTTCCTCCTGCTCCCTTTTGGCCACATATGATTTATTATTATTATTAATATGAAGACTTTGTTTTTGTTGAATATATAAATATTATCATGAATATGGATAAATACTGTATTTTAACAATACGGTATTCTGTTGTTCACATTTGTTATTTTGTATTTGTTATTTTTTTAATCTGTTCGAAATAAAGATTGAAATGAAAATGAAATGAAATAATCTGGCAAGGAAAATATTTATAGTTGAACGTTGGCTTTCACCTGTTGATAGCACTGCACCGATCCTCTCATTCAGCATCATGTTTACAACCTTTTGTTTTTATGTGATAAAGAATGACTGTGTTACGGTTTACGGAAAAGGATACAACTGCTATGCATTTATAAATAGCGAAATGTATCTTTTTTTAGATTCTTTCATTCACTTTGTGGTAATGAAATGCAAAGGAACTGGCTTTCTATGATCATTCTTTATGACTGATTTGATGTTTTGGTATATTTCGACAATCCCTGCCTGCATCAGAAACAATTCAGTGAAACACGTGCAGTCCAAACTGAGCAGACTTCTATGTGCTCGAGGTGTAGTCTTTTTGTTGAGGTGCACCAACTCTGGCATAACGTTAGTACAAAGCCTCTGCAACTACTATTTTGATAATTGTTTAATTGTGAAAGTCATGTTTCATGCAACAAATTACCAAAAATCCTCTTTTCCGCCTCTCAAATATGCTAATATTTAGTTGCAACCCTAGCCGCTATATACTGTTTCATTTCAACTCCAGTCAGTAATGGACCGTCTCATTCAGAGTTAAAGACACACACACACACACACACACACACACACACACACACACACACACACACACACACACACACACACACACACACACAGATTATCAGCACACTGCAGGGAAGAGAGCATTTAAAACATACTTGGTTCTGTATGTTACTATTATAAAGTGTTAACATATGAAACAGGACAACAGCATACTTACAAGAGATTGGAGTAAGATTCAGCAGAAAACATAAACACACACATAAACACACACATAAACACACATAAACAGATGGTTATTCACAAGAGTTCTCTGACGTGGGAGTGGAGAGAGGCCTGTGTGTTCACTCTGTCGTTCTTTGTCTCTCTGCCCACTTATTCCTCTGAATGTCTCTGGTCTCATGATTGGCTGCGGCTGATAAGAGGAAGTTTCACACTGTGTAGAGTACAGAGTGTAGAGCTGTGACTTAGACTGTGTCGTGCAGTAGAGATGCAAGATGAAGGCTGGCTATTTAAATATGTCTGCTAGACAAGCATTATCAATTCCTCATTTCTCAATGTCCACATTGCAACATAGCACATCTTTGTGTGTTTGTGTGAACGTACTTGTTTGCAAAAAAAAGGGAGACAAATATAGATGCACAATCTGGATAAATGGGTCAAAGGTGGACAGACCAGACACATCAATCAAACCGTGCAGCACTGCCCTTATTGGAAAAAGAGACGGAATAGGGAAAAGCTTGGTCATTAGGTTGCTTGTTGTAAATCCTTGAAAAAAGCAGCGAGAGCTTGGATTAAAAGATGTCTGACAGCTGATGAATAACTCCAGGCTTTTTGGAATATATCGTATGTATTTGTGTTTTGTCACGATAACTTTGGAAGCATTTACGTTTTTTAAACACACTTAAATTCTGAATAAAACATGATCAGTACCTTCTGTGATGTAAGGCCTCCGCACGGCAGCAGCTGTGTGAGCACTTCTCCTCCATGTTTTTAGCGTTCCATGACTTCCAACAACTCCCTGGGAAGCTCTGGCTCAGGGATTAATACCTGGGTTGGTATGGCAACAGTGACGCGGCGATCGCCATGGGAGATAATAACCAGGAAGAGAGGGTGAACATAAAAAGCCAGGAGAGTGAAGTTATTCTGTTGGATCTCTGGACAAATGTCAGCGTCAGACATGTTTGCTCTAACCAAGAATTCTTTATTTACCAAGTGTGATAAGAAAGGATATTTCTGCTACGCAGCACAGCACCAGGATTGATTGAACTGCTCAATCAATACCAGTGACTCAGCATTTCATTTCCTGGCCAGCTGCTGAGCTTTTTGCTTCCTTCGTCTCTTTTCAGCCATATATCAGCCTCATATGTTTTGGAAACATGTTTGTATTCTTTCTATATCTAACATCCCAAACAGCATAGGTCACAGATTGCATTACTGTGAGTGGATAATGTATGCAGCAAAAAGGAGTGAAAAGGGGATAGAAAAGGAGTATAAGAGAGTGGGGGAGAGAGTGAGAGGAAGACAGAGGTAAATGGGTGTATAGGAGAGAGGTGAGGGAGGAGGGGCTTAGCCAGTAATTCCTCTTAAAGCTCAGATGAACAGCTGATGCACTTAGTTCAATGACACACTGTGTGTGTGTGTGTGTGTGTGTGTGTGTGTGTGTGTGTGTGTGTGTGTGTGTGTGTGTGTGTGTGTGTGTGTGTGGTTACGTGTGGTTACGTGCATTTGCAGTTATGTGCCCAATGTACACCTGTGTCCTATTTGAGTAATGCACATCTTGTCTACATGTGTAGTATATATATTTGCACTTCAACACACACACACACACACACACACACACACACACACACACACACACACACACACACACACACACACACACTAATTAATTCCAGTAGGAACAGTAAACAAGGCGTACAGTATGTTAGCACTTAGTCCCCCCTACCTGGATTAGTACAATGAACATTCAAAAACATGCACTGTTTCAGCAACAAAGGTGTTGTTTATTTTTCAATTTTATATTACTGCTGCTAATACAGAAATAGTCCTGACACTCGTTAGCTTTGGCCTACACACACACACACACACACACACACACACACACACACACACACACACACACACACACACACACACACACACACACACACACACACATCATGACTCGACACACACACACTCTACCTCAGGGTCAGAATGTCTCACTTTAACACTAATAACCAAACCAGAACAAGCAGTGATGGATGAAAGGCTTGATGTGTTAAACACTTCACACAGGCTGTTTGCAGACCCTTACAGTATGTGTATTAAAAGTTCATGATTCATTCATTCATTAAACGCATGATTACTCTGTATGATAGTTTAACATCCAATTGCAATGGTCATTAACTTGAGATTTCACCTGGTATTCCAGATTGTCATCATGACTGTGGTGAAATTGCGGTTCAATTAATTTTAATTCAATCTGGAGTTAGAAGTAAACATCCTTTATGTGTACATCAGCATTGCTGCATTTTCCCTGGTGCTTTTACAAATGATACATTACTTTGATTGGACAGAGAGGGAGAGGGCATCAGAGGCAGCAGTCTGAAGCAGTGATGGATGGGAGGGGGGGGGGCACACCCAGGGGAGGAGGCCACGCTGCCGGCCCTGCACTATTGAGACTCTCCCTTGGGTGGCCTGGGTCTAGAGGTGGTCGGAGAGATGAATGGGGGGGGTGTATACACCAGCTGTGGATCGTATGAATGAACTGAAGAACAATGCATTGGATGAATACATGGGAAATAAATCAGAGGAAAAATGCTCCTTCTTTTAAAATGGACTGTGTCAGACAATTAGATTTTCAAAGTGTTTTTACTTAGTAGTGTTCATTGTGTCTACACTCAAAGTTTTCATTAATATTTTCTCAACAGATTACACATAACTGTATTAGGTAACGTTAGTTGAAAGCAATACTATTAAGTTGAACCTTTTTTATTTAAACTTCATATTATTGGTTTCAACTAACCTATTATAGTCATGTGTAATCTGTTGACAAAATACATACAATACATTCTTTTTTTTGTGTACGTATATTGATTTTTACAAAAAAAGACTGCTATGTATGTGGTTAACTGTCTTGTGTCGTATGATTGAAAAAGCCTAACCCAAAATGTGTAACAGCATGAGATTCCGTATTAATAAGTGTTCTGGTTAGAGCCATTTTGTTCTCGAACAGCATTTTATGAAGCTAACATGAGTTTAACTTCATGTCTTCTTGTGTGTTCCAGCTGTTTCGAGAGGTACGCATCATGAAAACTCTGAACCATCCCAACATAGGTGAGTTCCGCTGCAGAGAATTCATCTACGTGTGTTTCCATGCTGGCCTTTGCTAACTCCTCTTCCTCGGTGTGTTACAGTGAAGTTGTTTGAGGTGATTGAGACTGAGAAGACTCTTTACCTGATTATGGAGTACGCTAGCGGAGGTGAGTGCCCCCCCCACGCTCATGAATGTTGCCAAGTAGTGAATGGTTAAAGTTAGAATGATCACTTTGACTGAACGATATAGTAACACTGATGGACTCATTAGGTATCAAATTAACGGGTCCAATCCTTTTATTTTCATTTTCATTTGTGAGATCTCACATCCGTCTCTGAACAAGGCAGAGTGCTCTCTTTCTTTTTGTATTCCTCTTGTTCTTCAACACTGTTCCACTTTCCCATGCATTACTCTATTTTTGTATCTTCATTATTTGTCTTTCTTCCCCCTTGTAATCCCCTAATCTCTCTCCACTGCTCTCTCTTTATGTGTGATCTCTTTCTTCCAATACCTAATAAGGAGGCAGCTCAAAATGCTGCTCTGTTAAACCCAGACCCCAGCCCCGTTTCCTTTGTAAGGATATTTAGGATCAAATGTATGGCTGGAGTGCATACATGTACACAACACACATCTATATGGAGACCTGAAATAGGATTTAAGTGAACCAAGAATGTTGAGCAGTTTGGGAGTGTCAGTACTTTTTTTTGATGTGTCATGTCCCAGTAAAAAAGCACAAGGTGTTTCCACATACACATACGCCTTGACCAATTTCCCCCGGGACAGTTATCAGGTTTCTCCTCTTTATGAGATTGCAACATTTGCTCCTGTAATAACATGTTTTTGCAATCTGGACACATGCCTCACTCCAAATTAATACACACCCAGAGTGTTGGAGAACTTATACACCTGATCTCACATAAATACATACTTAGGGAAGTATTTGCATCCATCTTCTGCAAGTGTTGGTGCTTAAGATATGTTATTATGGGAAGTGGGCAGGGGTGTCGCAACCAAGATATACATTGATTTATTAAGATAGAAGGTACACCAAAACTGTTAATGAAGACAACGTAGTCGGTGGACCTTTCTGCTTTTTAGTCTAGTCATGGAATATGTTAATACATGCTTGCCTGATAGACAGTCTAACTTTTTTTTCGCCCCCTTTCAGGCGAAGTGTTCGACTACCTCGTGGCTCACGGCAGAATGAAGGAGAAGGAGGCCAGAGCCAAGTTCAGACAGGTCTGTAAAACATGGTTCTTTCTGTCTATGTTTCTGTCTGTCCATTTGTTGCTGGCCAACCCAGAAGGGAGCATCACAAGGGCTCCCTTGACAAAAAGCAGTGGGAGTTTTCCATTGGGTTTTGAAATATTGCACAAATGATTTAACCTGCAGTTCAGTATGTTCACTTTTCTTGCAATACTGTGCAATAATAACCTTTATCTGAAAGACATACATTGTTATAAATGTCCCAACATTTTTACAATATCTCAACAACTTAAATGTTACCAATGTCCCAGTTCTTTAAATTGCTGCTCCTAATTCTTTAGCCATGGTTGTGTACTTATTTGTCTTATTTGCCATTTTTTGCTGTAACACAAATCTGATTAAGATCAAATCTGAGCTACTTGAAGGCAATATTAATGATCTTCTCTCATTTCTCTTATTATTATTGTTCTCTCCCTCTCTATTGTCTCTCCTCAGATTGTGTCTGCGGTGCACTACTGTCATCGGAAGAACATTGTTCACAGAGACTTGAAGGTGAACGTTTGTCTAACTCATTAACACTTATCTAACAGACTGTATTACATTTGCACTTTTGTTTGTTTTTGTGATGCCTCATGTAGCACCTTGGGATTGCTGTTAGCAATATTAGCTTTTCAAATCGAATGTGTTATTATTATTATTATTACTGAAACAGGAAGTTACAGTCATTTGCTTTAAAGCTGATATCCATAACACTACAGCTAGATGTTATCGACATAATGTTCAAACTACTACTACCATTTCAATCTGGAGAGACGGTTTTGATGTAAGAATACATATTTATTTCCAGGAATACACAAATGAATGTAATGTTAATTTTGGCGATGAGGCCCCGTTGTGCAGGAATATCATTCTGGAGGGGAGAACCGATCCGATGAAACCCCCCGGGGTCTAGACCCTGGTGCTGGTGAATGGGTAGTTGGGTTCGGTCTGAAAAGGAGCGGCTTAGCTTGACCCTGGATTCAGAGGGACAGGAGGTGAAAAGGGGTGGAGGAGGGCTGCGTCGAGTCACCTGAAATGACAGCTGTCAGAGGGGAGAGCAGATTTAAAAGGTTTAGTGGAGCGCTATGATAGGCTTGTGAGAATAGAGCGAAGTGATTGGTTAAGCTGGGGAGTGACGCCCCCGATCACTTATTGAGAGGAGAGAGAGTAGTAACATGGAAATAGTGAATGAAGAGTAAAGACTGTCTTCCCGGTTGAATTTACGCTGAGCTTCATTAGTCCTATTCAGCCACTTGGTAACAACCATCGTTTTTCAGACACGTCAACTCTTCAGAAATCACCAGTAGGGTCACTGGAACAAAAGGAGGTGAGGGGTATCTCCCACTTTGTGTCACTACACGAGTTTTATTGCCAGTGTTGTTAAAATGTCTTTTTTTAGTCCTAAAGTCCGAACAAGACTTTTTCACTCTTAAAAGAAGGTTTCAGGACTCTTACTTAAATTACTAAGACTTTATTCAGTCGTAATGGGTCAAAAAAAGACTGGTCTTAACAAGTTTTTTTCAGGTCTATCTAAAAAATGTTCAGAGTAAAGGGGTTTTTTAAGGCTTAAATATGACTTTTTCAGTCTAAAGTCTTAAAAAGACTTTTTCCAGTAATAATATATAATTAAAACTCTTTTTCATTAAAATCATTTTATAAAAAAAAAAATAAAGATAGACTTTTTTCAGTTTAAAAAAAGACTTTTCGGTCTAAAATAAGACTTTTTTCAGGTTATAAAACTTTAAGAGATCCAACCTATATATACCCTAAAAATATCTCTCTATCAGATAACTTTATTAAAAGTCATATATTTATGTGATATTCAGTCTAAAAGCTTCATTAATAGGTTGCGTGGTAGCCCCTCTGCTAGCCTGCTCGTAACACTACTACAGAAATTTCCCTGTCAAGTTTGGTTTGTAAACATAAAAAGGAGGTCTCTGACTTCGTTCCGATTCTGGGTCTGAAAGGTAAAGATAAGGTAAAGAGCGAGTATAAAAAGTTAGCGGATGGAAGTAGAGTAGGCAGGGAGAGGGACGAGAGAATAAGATTAGGATGAGGAGAAGGAGTAGAGGAGAAAGGGAGTAGGAGAGAGGACGACTTCAGCAGAAGGGTAAGGTCGAAAGCATCGTCCTAAGGAGAGTAGAGGGGAGGAAAGGAGGAGAGGAGAAGGGCAGCGGACATAGAGACGTCGTGAGCTAGACACGGCGCAGTGAAGGTTTTACGACGGTCTCTTGACACTTCTGAATTTGACCTTATGCTCTTCACCTAGAACGAGTCATGACTCTGTTATATACCCTTCGTTATTAAGATGAAAAAGTGCACACGTTTTGGTTTTTGTGAAAATTATTTTCTTTTTCAGGGTAGACCCGATGTAGTGCGACTTTATTAGACATCTGAAACCAGTGCTTGGACACCTACACTTTGGTCAGTCCTCTAAGAGGTCTTTAAACAACAGTCTTATTTCAGAATGACTATAGAAAATTAAATTTCAAATCCTTCGAAGAAAAACAAGATTGAAAGGCTCCTAGTTTTAAATCTCTGAAATTACAGAAAATCGAACCTAGATAATCTAAAATCTAATCGTTTAGTACGTCGACAGAAGGAACTTGTAATTATGTTACTTAGAAATAAATAAAATTTTTATTCCTATTTACGATTCGGAGAGAGTAGAGTATACATGAGCCTGAACCAATCTAGAAAGTTTGAACTAGGGTCCACAAGTCGTGATCTTGACCTAGGTTTAGAGAGGACCGACAGGGGAATTCTCACCAGTCCACTTGCTCAGGGATTTTGGATCCTCACTCATCGTAATAGTGGTGAAGGACAGGGAGCAGAGTCTCAGGGTTGGCCTAAAAAATTGAGCAAAAACCTTTTATAGACCCTTTATTGCAGACCACCAGCTTGTGTTTACATTCTCTCGCCTAGTGCAAAACAAGATGCTGTAATT